GTTGCCAGTATTGTTTGATTTAAAATATAATCTGACCGAGGCAGTGGCATGTTTCTACGTTCGATTCCAGGACAAACAGCAGCAAGAACCCTACTACCGCGCTGTATACCTCACCGAGCGAACCGCATCCGACTTTATAGACCAACTATCCAAAAAATACAACGTCCAACCCGACCGTATCATGAGTCTCGTCCATATCAATCCGAACAGCCTACGCGTCGCCGTCGACGATGACGTCGTGGGAGCAATCCCCGAAGGACAGGACATGATTGCCCAATTTACCGAGGTTCCCGCTCCGTTGAGCAGCGATGGAGAGGGCGAGGGCGAGGGAGATAGCACGGGGTACGAGGTTCAACTACTTTTTTGACGCGTTCTGTTCTGCAAACTCGCCAGATTTTGAGTATTGGGTTCTGGTTTTTGTGCGCACTCAGGGAATGTTCATTATATGACTTGCCGCGGACGGGAATTGCATGACTGGTGATGATGTACGTTTAGACCTGCATGAACATCTAGACTACGCCTACTGGATGGGTATGAAGCGACGACATGACAAGAAAGCCTAGCATATACAGTTAATATCATACGAGATTTGCCAGCAAGAGATTTATATGCCTTCCAGGCTGTGAAGAAAATTCCAAGCACAGCTGAAATCAATAGCAAGGAACAAAATTAGAGCCTGGAGTTGGCCACAACAGAACAATCTCACCAACTCCAGCTCCTGCCGTACTATCGTTATTGACAAAATGAAACCTAGCAAGCGATGCTTTTATCCACGCAATCTGCATGTACGAGAGTGCACAGACCAGGCCTGAGAGTCTAGAGGATGAATGATATGGATAGTTCAACCGCCTCAGGAATGATAAATTACTTTTACTAGTAGAGCCTTGCTCATAGGGATAATGAAAGACTTGTCGTTTTTGATAGCGTTTTATTACAGCCTCACCCACGATCTATTGCTTGAAGTGGTCAAGCCAATTGCTTCGTTGCGATGATGAATCCGAAGTTCGGCCGAGAACTCCCAATGTCCCAGCATCACAGTGATGGCCGTGCATTGTGCATGAGACATGTCAGATTGGATCGGCCGTAGAGGTATGTGGTGGCAGCAGTTGCATCGAGGAATACGCGATCCCGAAAGTAGCAAAGCTGTCGATGCAAGTCCCGCTCAGCTCCAAACAGGCGCCACTTCAGCGGTGGTGTAGACGGATTAGTCTATCTATGCATATAACCGAAATGTATATGTCGAATCGCCAAAGATCAGCTGGTCGTGGTGCTTAACTTCACCCCTCAGGGAATCTGCCACGTGCTGGCTAGTATCAACTCCCGCTAGCTAGCTTCTCGAGACCAAACCGTTATCGACTCACTTGGTAGGTCATGAGAGCTTGGTTGAGCTATTAGGGACATCTTATCTAAGATAATATCTCGATCTGAGTCGTCTTTGAAGGCCTGTCGGGGGCTTCTTGTCATATTCTTCTCTGTCGCGTTTGTCATGAGCTGAGTGAAGAATCAAGTTTGTTCAGAGTGGTATCCAAGCTGACGGAGAATATTCGATTCTTCGGCCTTGGCATCTGAGTATGCGATCCTCCTTCGAAGAAGCTGTCTGGTTTTAGGCATTACGACGAATGTCAGGAAAGAAGACGATATTGATTCACGATTCATGGGATACGCGTTCATATCACAAGTCACGTGTTTCAGCAGCTTGTTCACATAAGCCGACCAATCAAAAGGTCATAGATCCATAGTGTAAGTGCACTACGCTGGTCAATATCATGATGGTGAGCATGGGCATTTCAACCTTTGATGCTGATAGCATCTTAAAGGCGTTCGCGTCAACTGCATCCATTCAGAGATAATAAACTCATATAAATTGGCTTCGCCCTCGAGTAATACAAGTACACGCAATTCGATTCAGATAAATATCTCATTGCAGCCATCGGTCTGTCAAGTATCCGGTCACAAAAGCATAAACCGCCTTGTGCAGTACATCGATAACCTGCTCATTGACTGGCCACGTCCTGCACATTCGTCAGTAATCATGCAGCAATACTGCCAATGTTCACGATACGCACCATGGGGGAGCGCCGACTCCCGTCCAATTCTCCAGTGTCTGATCAATCGTCAACCGGACGCCGACGAACATAAAGTCGGCAAACGGTCCTCGAATACCGTTGATGCTCATGAATGCTCGAATGACGGCCGCAACTGCACCCTGCCCGTAATGCATGGCCATGTTCAGTCCCCACCGTTCATTGTCCGGCCGGGGAGGCAAAGCCAGTAGCCGCTCCAGCGTGTGGCCGGGGACATAGGAGTTTGGCCGTCCAGTAAAGAACTGTTCAATCTTCTCTCCAATGGTCATTCTTTTCTTCAGTTAGATTAGTTTGCATGATTCGGGTGAGAGGACATACGCGGCTACTCCAAGCAGTCCTGCGCCGCAGCCATAAAGGACCCATGTTCCCATGGGGATATGGGGTCGGACTGGTCGATGAGGATCGGTGGTTCGACGCGACGACATGGGAAGTTGATAATTAGCTGATGTTTTTATTCTACCCGGGAAGACAAGTTTGAATGATGGAATATATTGTGAGATGAGTTTTTATAGAGGTAATCCAAGATTCATCAATTGAGGTGTCTGGGTTATGTCATAATGGCGACACAACTTGGCGGCATCAACATGAGATCCGCTACTCAGCCATTATTTTATGATAAACTCGGAAACGGGTTTGTAAGGTTGGGTATTCTGAAGTATTTTGGTATCAACTTGATAAAAAGGCTCAATAGTACTATTTTTCAGGAACATTAGTGTCACGCATATTATCATAGCTGGATTGGAATCATCGCTTCATTACCCTGAGCCTCAGGCATTAGATCACTCTTCCCCATTCACCTTAATGTCTTAGGATAGTGAAGGCTAATAGCCCTATATAATGGCTAAAGCCGTGTCGTTGTCGGGACTTCCCGCAAACAGATAGCTCCCATTCACTATTAGGGCTGTCTATCAAATCTACGCATTCACTTCTGGCATATAAATATGTATATGATATCCTTATATTCCCTCCCTTTCCTTCGAACTCTTTCATCAACTACAGTATCTTACCACTAGACAAAAAGGGTGTCGTCAAAGCGACTTACTGCATATACCTTGGACTACAAAGCCCCTCTCATTTATCCAATAGACAGCATGGACCAGATGCTTTTGGCTCTCCTGCTCCTGATACTGCTTGTTATTGCAGCAATAGTTCGTCTTAGGTCCCTGGTCACCAGGAAGTGGTAAGTCGATAGATCTATCCTTCGAAGGCCATCGCATAATACAGAGACTGACATCTTACTTATAGGTATGACTCAAATGGCTCATCTGTGATCTCGGCTACTTCTGATTCTGGGGCTTTCTGGCCAGAGGTTTGAAACAGTGCAACAGCGGCTGCAAATGCACTTGCACGATACACGAAAGCTGCCCCCGTTGTCGCCAAATTGATGAGGGACGATTACGATCAACCGCCAACTATTCCGTCGAGCATTTCGGTTACTCTCTGCTGCGGTACCTCCTTGAATGAGAAACGACATCTCGCTCGACTGCTTTGTTGAAGATGACAGCCGCACGGATGGCTTTAGTTGATATCTGGTCGTGTGGTTCGTCCGTTGGATGGTTAAGGTATGTTCCTAACCAGATGGACTATTCCCGCGTGTACATATTCTTGCTTAGAGTCATACTGATCTATCATAGTACATGTGGAGCCTGAGACTTGTTTGATGGCAGACGGAGGCCCAACAGGATGGATCAGAGAGTAATGACTTCGGGAGCCGACAATAAGACAAATGGCTACGCAAGACACCGTCATCAGTTTGAATTTAATACAGAGATAAAGTCGCAATGGTCAGACAATTTGAGCGCCGTACTGAGGGCTCGGAGGCCCCTATGACTGACCTCTCCTGACTGCCCGTGGCAGAGGGTCTATTGTTCTTTTCCGTTGTGAGCCAGGGAAATGATATTTGAACTGTCCTCCTATGCAAACCGCTTCTTCCAACATCAGCACTTCTTGTTCCCAGCAGCAATGACTACTTGGACTCCACGAACCCAGTCGCTGCCTTCAACAACAACTGCAATATGCTATGTCCGCCACAATTTTACATAGCCCGTCGTTCCGTACGCCTCGAGAACAGATGTCAAACATGATCGCCATCCATGCCTTCCTTCAAAGGGGATATAGCGGTCGATGGCAACAAGTTTATGATCGGTATTTTCGTGTGTTTCGCCCTCTATATTCTGTTCCACTCGCCAATCCCGCGACTGTTTTGATGGCTCTCTCTTCGCGCCTCATGATCATCGCGGTGGTGCAATCGCCTGCGCTGGTGGAGTACGTCGACAACATATATAGGTTCCTTCTGATACTGACTTCCCTGACTGTACGGCAAGAAGAATAAGGTCACTAAGTTGTGCTTATTCAATAGCAGTTCGGACTGCCCCATACATAAACGCTGCACATGTGTGCTTAAGGGGACCACCGCCCCCTCTAACCATGACACTGCCGACGATAACAACTCCATCACAACAACTACAACGACGACGACAACGGGGAGTGTGTAGAATGGCTGAGAGATAATGCAAGTAAAGGACGATAAAAATCTAAATGAGAAACGAGTGTTTGGCCGAGCTGCCTTCAATGCGGATATATTGTATCTAGAATCGGCCTTCCATGAAAGATTGATGCAGGTACTACTCCTGGATCTTAAATGTTTTTTCACAGGCTTTGTCGTGGCCAAGTACGTCAAGCATCGTCAACCTAGCTGAGCGATATCGTCAATGTTATACAGGAACAGTCCACAGAGGAGATACCCATCGCGGGACCTAGCATGAACGAGGACTGTCTACATGACTTGCTCTGTCCGGAGAACAGTCGATGACTTCGATATACTGGCTTGGAATATGGAAGTCGTTTATAAGTTACGCAAACAACAATATTCTAACAAAATCAATAGCATTGATATACAGCTCAGTTGCATAACACTCAAATCGCGGAATAATAGCTTCCATGCAACCCAAAACTAATCGCGTGGTCGTGTTCAGCCCTGCCAATCTCGGTCAACGTCCTGGCATCAAGACACACAAGGTAACTTGTCCCAGTCTCTCCGTTCAACACCACACTGAGCAGATATCCCGCATCCTCGGCCTCGCCAGTGCCATCGGGGATGAAAATTGGCTCGGAGGGCGTAGAAGGTGTCGTTTCACTACCCCAGTACTGGATTGTCTGCGTCTCGAGATCAACCTTGCCGATTCCATCGAAGAAGGGAGTACGTCCTCGGTTAACGACGCAATAGTGGTATCGTGCTCTTTTTGTAGCGAATCGCGGGTTGATCGTCGGGAGTTCACCCGTCTCAAATCCGAAGACTCGTTCCGCGGCGGCAACTGTTCTGGTCGTTGACTCCTTGGGCACTCGTGGCAGGCGATAGCGGACGGTCATGGGTGTTTCAGATCTTTTCAATGTGAAATCCGAAACCTCGCCGTTAGGCGACAGCAGCGCCTCGTAATAGGTTCGGTGCAGGGCGTCCATGTTGGTGTACTGCACCAGATCACAGATTATATCTACGGTATTCTTGTCTCCCGGTTCTTGGAAAGCATTGATCGTGTGAAAGGCGAAGAACGGCGGACTAACAAACTTGGCGACGACGCCTCGGTGGTTCTTGCGGTCGACCACGAACCAGTGCGCCTGAGCAGTAGGGTCAAATTTCAATGCGTCGAGTATGTTTCGCTCCCAGAGGATGGAGGCCCCGAGTCCTTTGAAGTACGAGGGCCAGACGCAGAGGATGATGTAGTCTTCTGTCATGAAGAAGGAATGGATATAGGCTGCTTTGGTTGAGAATGTGGCAATGACTTCTGTTCTGGATGTATGTGCCGAAGTGTGATATATGCGAAAGGTGCTTTTAGGGCCCAGGTGCAGGTTGTAATTGTATACATCTCCCGTTTTGGGGTGGAATTGCGGATGTGCGCAGGAGAGTTGTCCCTTATCAGCAGTCAGTTTGCAACCCTGCCGCGGAAGTATCCCGGGGAAGAGTAGTACCTTCAGATCCGGGTGAAGCTCTTGTTGCGTGCTCGCAGCAATTGGCTCGAGGGTCTCCGGGTTTGCATGCGTGATTTGGTTTGCGTCAGTCAGACAGGTGAGCACCTTGAATTGCGAGGATTCCGGTACAGCAGGGCCATGCTTCAGCATGCCGGGCATATTGGCAAACACAGTGACATTTGAATTAACCATCTGTGGATTAGGATCCGACAGAGAGTCAGTCGGCTCAAAGACGGTCTTCATCTTGTGAAAGAACGACTCGCACGGGTCTCTCTTTTGGCCGAATGTGACATCCTTGAGATCTCCGGTGCGGCGTGCTTTCTCCATCAACGCGTCGACCTGGAATCGAGAGTTATAGAGCACGCGGCAGTTGCTGCCGTCCGTGGGAACTATCTTGAATCGATGCAGCAGTGCGAAACCGTCAAACCAGTGACTGCGAGCATACGAGCCTGTTTTCGAGTCGACACGGTGGGTGCCGGGTCCATTGCGATACAATGTGCCTGCAAGAAGCGGTGGAAATGTTCCCGTGACTCGCAATTCGACAGGCTCACGCTGGTCTCTGTCGGTTGCCAGCTATGAAGTGGTTAGAACTATGCCTTGTCCGAGCTTTATGCGGTTGTACCTACCAGAGCTTCAAGTGGGTAGTTCTTAGAGGTGGTCGCTGTTATGGAGCCCATACTGCAGGTGAAATCTCTTAATTTCTTTGACTATGTGCTGCTCTTTGCCATTAGTCCTGCAGTCATTTATATCCATCAAATGAGATCAGGTGGTACCGCGGAGCGGGATTCCCCCGCCACCCGTCGGACAAATATACTGGCATAGCGCAAGGCTGCGATGACTTTGAGGAGACAGCTGCTTTCACCTGAGTAACGATGAACAGGGTGCTTATCCAATTATTTCCGATGCTTGGACCTAGAACCCTGCAAACCACCAGCTAAAGTTGGATTGCTTCTTTATTATCGCTCGGGCTTATTCTTTCAAGAGTGAGTCAATGTCCACGTTATTTCTTCTGCCTAAGCATCAGTCGGTCTCTTGTTCCAACCTTGGTTCTTTAGGCATCCGTTTTAACGTTGGAGATGGACAGTCGGCTGGAAGACAACAAGACATCATACCACAAAGTACTGCTTGAATCGACTACATGCTATGGCCATCTAGCTTATTCGGGCTCGGGGTAACAGTGGGGAAATGCATCACACGCCATACATGCAGCGCTTGATCTCTCCAAAAACAGAGACATACACATGGTCGATTCGTGGAGGCTTCGTTGGATGCGGGTTCATCAGAGTCCAGTTAGTGCTACTAAATAAACAAATGGCTGATATCTCGGAATTTCCATCTGGCTGAGGATCGATCCAAGTGACATTCTCAGGCAGACGTACTCCCTTCCGACACTCTGACTGTGGCAATCTTCCACAGATTTTGAGTCCTTAAAAGCATCAATAAACTGTCCCTACCATCCTCTGCATCCGAGATTCGCCAACACTCTGTTGCACGAACGTTGTCAGGAATGCGAACAGAATATTCTTGCAGGAAGAGCAAAGTCTTTTTGAGTAGATCAAATCGAGAGACTTGCTGACTTATGATCCCTTCTTTTCTCAAAGACCATGTTGTACAGCCTACCCGACGGCGCAGTTTTGGGGCCAAAGTCATAACTTGACTTATGAAGAATTTCAAAATATCCCAGTTTGGATTTTCATACGTTGTAAAATATAGAGACAGTGAGTTTATCTTTATCTATTCCTTCTGTCGCTCGCATATTGGCAGAAGTTGTATTGATATTTCTGAGACGCCAACATGCTGCCTCCGCCTGCCGGACAATCTCGGGTGGCTTCTACCATTCAGTATATACCTCAGAGTGACTCTAATTGACGGATGCAACTCTGCTATTAATAGCATGCTACATAGAGTGCAAGGCGTTACTATTATTCCGGATTTAGGTTCGTTGCTGGCGATGATACGGTTATTGTTGGGGGCCAACAAGGCTGCGACAATCAGGCTTAGGCCCTGATGCGGCTGTCATTTGGCTCAAATGAAGCAGTAACTGACAACACTCTATTCTCTAAAAAAAGGAAACAGAATGGCCCGGCAATCCAATGATCAACCCAGGGGCTGTGAGCTTGGCATGGATCAGCGGATCATCTATATCGTGTCGAACGTGTTGGTGTTGGTGTTGGATATCAAGTACCAACAGATGAGCCACACGAGTAGAATCAGCCCTGAATTGAAGGCAACATCTTCATATGTGGAATTACGATATGGAATCATATATAGATACAGACCTGACGTAGAATACATCAGCATTTGCGAACATATCGACCATTCTTTGTACAATCATCATGATTCTACTACAACTACTTCTATCTCTAACATTGCTCTCTCAGTCCCTCGCGGCCGTCCTCCCGCGAAATAGCCAACGCATCCTCAATCCAACCGCCAACGACCTCACCAAGATTTTCACCTTCTCCAATGACTTCCCCCCGCCAAACAGCGGCAACCTGCAAGTGCACGACCCGAGCATCATCGAGGAAAAGGACACGCTCTACCTATTCAAAGGCGGCATCCACATCCCCTACTGGAAGGCGCCTAGCATCTCGGGACCATGGACAGAAGTCGGTACTGTATTGAGCAAAGCCAGCGTGATCAACAAAAAGAACAACAATCGGCCCTGGGCTCCAACCGTCACAAAATACAAAGGGAGATTCTACTGCTTCTACGCCATCAGCCAAAGCGGCAGCAAGGATAGTGCCATTGGATATGCCTCCACCTCCGACCTTGAGAAGGAGTGGACGGACCACGGCGCATTGATCAACACCGGTTCCGGGGAGCGTTCCCAGATCGCGCCGTACAAGAATACGAATGCCATTGATCCTGCGTTTCAGGTTGATCAGAAGAGCGGACAGCCGTATCTCATTTACGGGAGTTACTGGGATGATATCTACAGTCTCCCGTTGCAGGTGGACAAGGACGGCAAGTTGTCTGTCAAGAATGAAAACAAACCCGATGCTACGCACCTGAGTTACATGCCTGGGAACTGGAGACCGCAGGAGGGAGCGTACATGTCGTATCACGAGCCGTATTACTATCTCTGGTTCAGTCAGGGGATCTGTTGCCAGATGGTTAATCATGGGTTTCCGCTCAGAGGGGAGGAGTAAGTCACTCTCCATTTTCACTTTCTACAGCAGTACTGACGACCTTAGATATCATATCCGAGTCGGCCGGTCAAAGAGCATAACCGGTCCGTTTGTGGATAAATCAGGCAAGAAACTCCTCGAGGGGCATGGAGAGACGGTTTACGGGTCGAATAATGGAAATGTCTACGCGCCGGGTGGTGTGGGAGTGTTACCTGGTAATGGCAAGCGAGGCGATGTCCTCTATCATCACTTTTGTGAGTTTCCTCATATCCTGATGAGGCTCAGTTGCTGACTGTCCGTTAGTCAACGGGTCTATAGGTTTCAAAGAGAGTGTAAGTACATCGTTGTTGATGCTTGGACTAGACTGATATGTTTAAAGGATACCCAGCTGGGCTGGCATTATCTTGAGTACAAGGATGGATGGCCCGTCGTCAAGTGAGACTCCTTCCTTACACTGTGGTGACCCAGCTGACCAGCTCAGGACGCAAGATCCGCCGGTCAAAGTGCCCGAGCCGATAAAATTTGCTCTCTCCTCAGTCACGTATATGGTTGAGAAGGGCAAGAGCTCATAGGCTGCGACCTTGTTCATTCTGCTCGAGGATGGCGTTTGCTGATCTCATGTCTTTGATCTGTGATACTCCCAATGTTACGCATATAGATTTGTGTTTGTCTCTGAATTCCAACTATTCAGTTCTTGTGCAATTTCAGACCACGAGGGGACGACATAACCAAATGATGGTCCTGGTATTGCTCTTTACACATCCCACTGCATATCCCTGCGTTCTTGTCAGGAGCATAAAGCTGTGGTACTGCTCTTCTCTCCCAGGAATAACGCACCTAGTCCATATATCATCTACCTTATGACAAGGAGAAGGGAAGTTCAGGAAGAACGTAGTCATTTGCTGACCATGTTGCCAGTGACGCGGAAATAACCTCTTACATAGATACGTTATCATTTTAAAATGATGGATAACTGAGGTTGCCTCGAATATCGCTGAGCATGTGGGGAGTCTTCGGTTCCTATATCCATTCTATTACTTGGATCTGCGGTCAGCAAGCAGCAGCAGAGTGGAATGCAAGGACAACAAGACCGACAGGCTTCTATCAACCATTGCATACTACATTTATTAACATCTCTTGGAAGTATCCTACTTCAAAAAAGCACCCAGGCAATCAGAACTAACCATTATTATGCAATCTCGCGAACGATTCACTACAGTGGGGTTGAAACCCACCGTCGACGGTGTTATCAATAAGCCGGTCGGGATAGAAGGCCTACGCTGTAACCATCACCAGGGTGATCATCAAGATAGATCTTAGCAACAGTCTCTATGAAGACTATTCCTCCTTAGCTGAGCACCCGTCAGCGATTCACACATGTGCTGTGCGTCCCCGACCTCGCAACATGGGTCACACCGCCAATGCCGTCTCACTTGAATCTCGGTTCCAGGATACTCTACCTAGTATCGGTGTCTACGGTTCCACCACCGCTTCTATATATTCCAGCGCGGCGCTAGAGCCGCATTACCTGGCTAGCCATTCACATATCATAGCTATGTTTGCCGAGAAATCTATCGTCGTGTGAGGCGGAGCGCTCACACACAACTAGCGAGCCGGGAGATCCGCTTGCATGGCCTCGTATAAATTGTTGCAAGGTTAACGGGAGATAGTGCTGCATCTGGGTTGACCAGCAACGTTGTGAAAGAGGGGATGGCTCGTCCTGGAGGTGGTGTCTGGATAGCTTGATGGCTGGAGACAATATGGGGGGGGGGGTAGGGGAGGATAGGGGTCGGTGAGTACGGAACGGGAAGCCGAGGGAGCAGGCGTCTGATGTCGTTGAAAGTACCTAAATGAAGTGAAGAAAGGTCGCAGCGGCACATACCCTGTAAGGATAAAGGGGTTCGTGGCATTGAACTCTCCGCTTCAGCCCAACTGCCCAGTTAATCAACACAGGGACCCTCACCGGGACCCATTCTTGGATGGACAGCATCAAAATCTAATGGCCCCCAGATTGAGGAGCAAGGAGTACTCCTTAGAGAGGAGCCTGATTACCCCGCATGGGCCGAAGCGGTTGGTTTAGAGATGCACGAACGAGTTCATAGCTCCGAGGGAAGTCCACGGGAAGCAGCACATGGCATAACACACATAGACAATATGATAGATAGCAGTCATGCGCAAACTATCTGCCATGATTCAGCCAGTCGGGTACAGGATTAGGCAGTATGTGCCCGCCAACCCGAATCAGAGACGGAAACTGTGTCCCAAATTGACCGATCGATCGAGATGCGCTTACGATGCATGCACCCGGACCTGGACGTACAGGAGCTGAGCTCAAGCTCCCCGTCCAAATTTCAACGAAAGTAGGCGATCCACGCTGTCGGTGCCAGAAACATTGTAGACAGAGTGTATGTTAAATGAATTCATTTCGGCACCCGCAACCAAACTGGAAACGGACGGGCCGACTTACCGGAGCTAGGACCAATTGATGCTTGCTCCCATGCTGTGTTGGGGATCTCGCTAATGAACGGTTAGTCGGGATCCTGTACAGGTCAGATTAAATGCATATGCTATTGGATTGATATTCAGTCGCCGTTTGGTGCTTCGATGAGAGGCTGGTCGAAAGTCCAGAGAAATTCTCCCATTCGTTAGCCTTGTAGAAGTTGGCCACACTCTCCTCTTTGGGGACGAACCCTGTTTGCTGGATGTGGCAATTGGATACTTGGCATGGCTGTTCACCAGTCAAGATATTGACTGTATCCTGCCACATTGACCTCGACAAGGCTTACTCGTGCATTGTCGGCGCTTAGAGGTCAATCGACTCCGGCCGAATGGCACAGTGTTGGGCAGTCAACGAAGCTAGTCTGATGGTCAATGGATAGATTTTTGGCCTTGGATAAGCGAGATGACAGTTAAGAAAAACGAGACTGAAGACTATTCGTCGGTAGTTATTACTGTTTCGGGCAAATGAGGTCAGTTGTGCCAGCAAGACCCGTTCGTTTCCAGCTTTCTTAGTCCAAGAGAAGCTTGTGAACTGCAAATCAGTGATCTCATCATATGCAGTATGTAATTGATTCGAAGAGATAGACAATCTGATGAGTTCAACACGGTAATGCGCCAGTGCAGACGGCCTCGGCTAGCTGCAAGACGCGAATCGGTCGACAGTCAGTGGAGCCTTCATCATGATCAATTCTCCCTATGGGCATCTATATAATGTGACCATTCCTATTTCGGAGTGGGGAGAATATTAGACAATTCGCAGGCTATCTGCGTGGTGGATCCAGTAGAGCTTGATAATGATCAAGCTGGTCTATTTCCTTTACTGATGGGTATCTCCACTCTTACCGCAGGATAACGTCAAAACTCAGACTCGGGATAGGTTAAGCGTCGGGTAGAGGCTGATTCCGAGGTATCCATCTTTCCCTCTGTCGAGAATCCGGCAGACTATCCTTAACCAAAAGCTAGTTTACCCCATAAATCCTGAGAGGTAGATGATCCACAGCCGTCTCTGCTAAGCGAGAACTCGTGCCAAGGGGACCCGTTACTGCTAGACTGCCTTGGCTCCGGAGCCTATCCGTTTTGGGAGCGGAGGGCGACGCAGCCGACCTAATGAGGAATCACAGCACCAACAGCTGGTATGGTTGCTATTGGTGGCATATTATGGGTTAAGGCCATTTCATCCTTTTTTCCTTCCTTCGAAATGAAGGAGCTGCAAGCCAGGGGGGCCCGTGCTTCAGTCAGGGAGGGCAGCAGTTGGAATCCTGCCTGGATGCTTTTTCACCCAATCGAGTGTACCTTGGAACTTGACGGTGCATACAGATAGTATCTTGGTACTATGTTGGAATGGGTCCAGTCATGCTTCACCCGCTAGCTGATCTCGTGCTTGTGATCGTTCCCAAGGGCCAAAATAGTGTTACTCGCGTGGTTTGACGGTCCACCACTCTGATTGGTGCAACCAGATCTCAGCCTTGGCTTAGTGGCAAGGTACTCCTGATGAACCAATCAGATGCTATTATCTCATCCTTTTGGAATGCGACACGGAGGGAACTCCGCATCGAGCCTTGACCTATTCAGTCTAGCGGCCTCCTTTTCCCCTTGCAGCCCTCATCGCGGTGGACTTCGGCTAGCCCAGACCGATTCTGAGACTTGTGAAACTATGAGAATCCCCAAGCTCTGCTGAAGGAGTGGCACGATTGACTTTCAATGCCATCCACTCCTTACCGCTTGTGGATAGGGGCCCTTCTCCCTTCCCCACCAGCTAAACTCCATTTCCAACGTTGGGCTCCGGAAGTCTGGGGTCATCCCCAGTTTGACACGCAGTGAAGACGGGAAGGCGGGCGTGTCTCCCGAACAGAAACGACTAGTCTCCAGATTTCGGCCAGGTTTGACTCGCTTTCTCATGGCTTTCCAAAGCCTCTGTCTCTTGTTCTAGAGGAATTAACCAACGTGCGTTCCATCCATCGTACCAACCACAGCGTCGGTAACAAAGCATCGGCCTGGTCAATGTGCGTGACACCCCCGGTCGATAAAGTAAAACCAGGAGGATTATAAGAACCTCATGCTGTCCCACCAGTCCTAGTCATTCACGGATCCTTTTTCGTCTCTCTACTGATCCTTTCATCCGAATCAGCAATCTGGTCGACTTGATCCTATTCTCAGAGGATAACCACCGACAACATGTCGTCGACCGATGAGAAGTACGGCATCTCGGTAGAGCATGGCTCGCCCGGCTCCGATACCGACACCAAGCCTGCCGTGCCTGTTGGTCATGGCGAGGCGACCAAGCTCGAGGGTGCGAAGACGAGGAAGGTTTACAATGTTAGTTACCTTAGCAGTCGTCCATCAACGCCATCTTGAGCTACAGTGTTGACGAGAGAGTCGAATAGGCCGACTTGTATGCCGCCATCAACGATACTCCTATCCCCAGATGGAGCAAGGAGTCGATCCACCTGTACTGTGCGTGTGGAATACATTGCTGCTGATATTGATACAAGGCTGACAACGGCTAGTCTGCATCTTCGTCGCCTTCTGCTGTGCTTGTGCCAACGGTTATGATGGTGTGTGGTTTGGAAATTTTGTCATGGACACGACCCTAATTCAAGGATAGGTTCGCTCATGGGAGCCATTCTCGCGATGAAACACTATCAGAATACCTTCCACACCGGTTTGGACGGCCCCAAGGTCTCCCTGGTGACCTCCCTCTACACTGTGTAAGTCCTCTCGCGAACACCCTGTTTGGGAGGCTCTATCTCATGTATTCTATTTGCAGTGGTTCCATCGCCGCGACTCCCTTTAGTGCCGTTATTTCCGACAGGCTCGGTCGTCGCAAGTGTATGTTCGTGGGCGCCTGGATCATTATCGCCGGTTCCATCATTATCGCGACTGCGAACCATCTTCCCCAGTTCTACGTTGGCCGCGTGGTTCTTGGTTTCGGTATCCAGGTGATGGTCGTGTCTGCGCCCGCTTACGCTGTCGAGATTGCTCCTCCCCACTGGCGTGGACGTGCCGTTGGTGAGTCACCTCACAAACGCAGAAATGCTATCAATTGCTTAACTGAGTAGGTTTCTACAACTGCGGCTGGTTCGGTGGTTCCATCCCCGCTGCAGCCGTCACCTACGGCTGCAACAACATCGACAACGACTTCTCGTGGCGTATTCCCTTCATCTTGCAGTGCTTTGCCTGTGTTATTGTCATCTGCTCCATCTGGTTCATTCCCGAATCGCCCCGTTGGCAGATCGCCCACGGCCAGGAGGAGAAGGCCATCGCGTTCCTGACCAAGTACCACGGTAATGGCAACCGTAATGCCCGTTTAGTCCTCCTGGAGGTCGAGGAAATGAGAGAGGGTATTCGTTTGGATGGTATCGACAAGAGATGGTGGGATTGTAAGTACTTCCATCCGGCAAACCTTCATTGCAGGAACTGATTGATCGGTTAGACCGCCCGTTCTTCTTCACCCACAGCGGCCGCTGGCGTTTCCTCCAGGTCATGATGATCTCCGTCTTCGGTCAGTGGTCTGGTAACGGTCTGGGCTACTTCAACACCACTATCTACAACACCCTGGGCTACACTTCCAGCTCCATGCAGCTGCTCATGAACTTGATCAACTCCATCGTTTCCGCCATCGGGGCTCTGACCGCCGTCGCCCTTACCGATCGCATGCCCCGTCGGAAGGTTTTGGTCTGGGGTACTCTTGGTACGTTCTTGTCCCATTGAACTCCTGAATCGCCACTGACTCTTTTAGCTTGTGCCATCACCATGGGCATCAACGCCGGTGTCTCCGAGCCTCTGATCAAGCAGACCGCCACCGGCAACATCAACAAAACCTACGGCCAAACCGCCGTCGCCTTCTACTACCTCTTCAACTTCGTCTTCTCTTTCACCTATACCCCTCTGCAGGGTGTCATTCCTGCCGAGGCCCTCGAAACCACCACCCGTGCCAAGGGTCTCGCCCTGTCCGGTTTCATGGTCAGCTGCATCAGTTTCGTCAGCCAGTACGCCAGCCCGATCGGTCTGCATAATATCTCCACCCACTACTTTTGGATTTTCGTCGGCTGGGACTTGTTCGAGTCTCTCTGCTGGTATATGTTTGGGTATGTTCTTTTCTTCTGTCGTCGATAAAGCTAGTCTGACCGGAATAGTGTCGAATCCCAGGGTCGTACTCTTGAGGAACTCGAGTGGGTTTACCAGCAGCCCAAACCCGTCAAGGCCTCGCTCCAGGTCGACAAGGTTGTCGTCCAGCCCGATGGACACGTCGTTGAGAAGATCACCGACGAGGCTTGATTGTCATTTGGGTATATCTCTGGTAAGAAGAGGTGACTGTGCCTGTCGCATTTTTGATGAAACAGAAACGATCCGACTAGGTTCTCGTCTGATGATTTCATGACACGGTCACTGATGGTGATGTACACTATGATTCGAGGATTCCTGAATATATACGTTTAATTTGGATATGCCTGTCTTCATTTGCATTTACTCGAAACCTATGAATTACATGATGTAGTGTCGGTAACCTGGGACATACATAGGTGCCCACCCAGAGAGTCGTAGACAGTACAGTCAATCTGACGACATTTTAATTCACTCTTCATGGAAATAGCAAAACTCAGTGAATGTAGAAATGCAAGATAGATTCTGCCATTCATGCCTTTCTCTATTGATAATGTCATGGATTATTAGCAGCGCCTGCCCCGGCCTAAGGCATCTCATACTTCCCGAAAGGGAAGGCGAGCACTCCTCCGTCCGTACTGGGTGGCCAGCATCGCCCTCTAAGGTCCCTTTTCCTCAACTTCTTACCTTCACTATTCCACTCTCCTTCATTCACCACAAGGACTTTGACCGAGGAACTCTTTTGTTTTATTCACTGGTCTCAGATTCCAGTCTGCTTTCTCAAGAAGATATAAAGAGGTCTTCCCCCTGAGCTCCCTACCTGTTCCCTCCGGTCTGTGAAAACCGTTCTGATTGCCTTTATTCGCCTACTTATATCTGTCCTCAACTCTCGCTTTTCCTATACTTTACAAACCATTTCTTACTTTCATTTTTAAACATGCCGGCCCTAGTTGAGTTCGAGTATGTTTGGATCGTCCCGGTGCTCTTCGTAGCCTGGTTCGTTTGTAAGGCTGCTGGGAGGTCTTGAACCGACTGAGGCCCTTTGTCAGGAATTGGCAACGCCCTCTGCTCCAATGGGAACGTCCTGCGATGTCAGGTGAGCCATTCCTCTAAACTGAATGTGAAAGCAGAGTCTGACAACTCCAATGGCTGCAAGTATAGGTTCGACAATCCTCGTGGATTTTTGTCCTCTCAGAAATCGTGTGGGCATCTTCAGCCATATGTCAACACTCATCATGAAGCACGTTAAGCACGTATCTAACGCCATCCGCATCAAGAACCGCACGATATGACATTTCCGAACGCGAAGACCGACCTTCGGGACAAGGCACGACAGTGGCATGGAAGTACACCTTGAAACAGGCCCTCTTCAACTCAACGAGGAGCTGTTTAAGTGCTCCGCTCGATCGAGTGGTGCGGCTTCTGCGGTAAGCTGTCTTCATCACCTAAGACCGACGCTATGTGCACTGACATACGTCTATTTAGCCCTCGCACCAACATGACAACTAGGTGAAGATTTGCGGAATCAAAGGGGAGATTGGCCTTGATGCCACCGGCTATCATCGTTGCCCTTCTAGTCTGCTCCCTATTTTGGTCGCCCTATCGACGTTCATCTTCCGAACGTAAAACCCGAGCTCAGTTTGAGCGGCGGCTGGATCGCTTTTTTCCTCTGGGCCTGTGTTTTTATGGTGGCCATGGGATGATAGCTAGTTGTGGTGGCCCATTACAGCCAAAGAAACATGTTAGTTCTGGTACTGACTACCCTGACTGTGTTTAAGGATAGCCACTGACTCATGCCTATTACAGCACAAATGCCAACCACTGCGATACCTGTACTTGCGTCCCGCAGGGGACATCCTCCTGCTCCCATGCGCCATCCTGGCACCCGCTGGCTGCCCTCCTGGGCCTCCGGGCATGGCACTCAGCCTGCCTCGGACTCCTCCTCTGGGCCCCCGGCCGCGTCCTCCCCGCCACCCACCCGGGGCCGACCAACCACCCATGGGAGAAAGACAATGTGCCCTTCGGAGGACCTAGTCAGAGATGTGACGGTATCCCGGAGAGGGGACTACCTGAACATGGGGGATGATGGCGGGGACGTCCAGGCATTTAGGGTGCGGGTAAGTTCAAATACTGATCATCTTGACTGTGTCATAGGAAGAACAAGGACAGTAACTCCCTAATGTGTACTACAGTGCCCCCGTTACCAACAATAACCCACTACGACTATGGCATCAAGCCTTGCAGTTGTGTTGGCTCTGCCAACAACCCGGCCGCCGACAACCCTCGTCCTCCTCCCCCTCCCTCCAACACTTCCCATACCACCGCCGACACCACCCGCGCCACGCATGGCACCATGGGCCGGGCCGGGGGCAAGGAGGCCATGAACCCGGCCCCCGACAAAAGGGGCTCAACAAGCAGCAAGTCGAGCACGGGTAGTGGCAGTGTGTTCCACACTGCAGGGTCCTTGAGCCTGCACATTGTCCAGGGCCTACGCCACAGAAGAGGGCGCAGCCCTGGTCGTCACGATTCGGCGCCCGCTGACGGTTGGGACGACAAGAAAGGAGGGCTTCTGCCACGGCCGAGCGCCAGTGACGTCTGTCAGAGATCCCAAGTTCTGCAGCACCTTTTGAAAACAACTCTTCGACAGGTGTCGGGTGCGCTTGTCAATGACGACTGCATTTAATCCACATTCCGACGGACAGTCAGAGAAAACTAATGACACGGTTGAGACGATCTTACGATGCCTGATCTCAGGCCAATATGAATCCACATGGGCGACATTGGTCCCAGATGTCGTTTTGTTTTTCGCGCTTCGGCGTCAGGCACATAGGCCGGATGGGAGGGAGGGTGCGCTAGTCGCACAGACCTGTGTTGCCTCATGTACCTAGTACAATGAAATTGTTGTTTCATTACGGACTCTTCTCGGGTCCAAAGCGCGGCAGGGGGTCGGGCTGTCACGACGACCCTAAAAAGAAGCCTTACCTGAGAGATTCTGCAGAAGGGGAGGATTCCATTTGTTCTACTCTGCATGTCTGCTTTCTCAAGTTATGTTTCCAGTCCCGATTCCCAAATCTCATGTTTCCGTCTAGATTCTAACCTCCGTCTTCACCGTTTATTCTGTTTACTGCGTGCCGGTTGCGCTCCCTTGCTCGTCTTGATAGCTCCCGATAGCACGACAATTTACCATCTGGCCTTATACCTCCCCGCCATATTACAAAATTATAAATCATCCCGTAGCTTTTGGAGAATGCCATGATGCGATTTATTTGACTCGTGGTTCAAAACGCCAATGAAGACCCAGATACACGAGTGATGGTCCACAGCAGTCGAAGGAATTCAAGAGAGCGACCTGTTGTTCGTCCCGGATATGATCAAGAGTAGGCGGTTCAGTGACGGTCCGTCCAGCTTGGGTAGTACTCCATGCTTGTTTTCGAACAAGCTCCGCACGCTTGCCGGGGACTGCATGATGCAGATAGGACCGCTACGGAAATTGGAAGCACTGGAAGATAGATATTGGTAGGGACAGAAGATCTCCCTTCTTGATGAGCTTGCAATAGAAGACAGTTGAGTACACAGCGCTCCGGTCATGGGGTAGACCTCACAGTGCGGTGTTACTCCAGCCCTAATGTAGTGATATTTGTGACATCACCATAGTGAACTTCTTATACCCATAGATTTCTCAACCAATTGTTACTGGAACAGGCAACTAATGAAGCCTTGTTACTTCCTCTTTCAGTGAATGTGTAGCGTTTACAGGATTGCTCATAGCATTGTGCATTGTAGATTGCCGTACTCGAATTTCCTCTGTAATAACCCCATCTACCACGTTTTCCTCCCACTTCATTGAAGAATTCATCATACCATACGCTTTGAGGCTTTTTCTACCATTTTCAAGCAAATCAACGTAAAAATGGACAACGAGCAAGAATTCAATGGAATTCATGTGCAGTTCGCCCTCGACGGCACTGCCGTCGCCTTTCTGTGCCTCTGTGTTGTGCTTATGGCGTTTCCGTGCTCACCTGTTGGGAGGGCGATAATGCACAATATGCAGGGGTAAGTCGTACTGACTGCATTGACTATGTCCAGGATATGGACAGTTACTGACTGATATTTGTTATAGTGGTATCGGCCACTGCCCTAGCTGCAGGTGTGCGCTCGTGCCTGCGGCCACCGCCTCCTCCTCCAACGTCGACGGCGACGACAACAACGAGGATGAAGACAAGGAGGATGAGGGCAATGACGAGGAAGGAGGAAAGGATAAATGCGACTAAGGGTTCGGCCAAGTTGCCTTTAAATTGGCGTACTGTATTTAGAGTCGTCCATCGAGTGAAATGTTGACGCAGGCACATCTGGTACATCGTAAGAGTCTTGTTTATTTCTGTAATGTATATGTCAGGAATCTGAAAACAGTCTAATCGGATTATCTCAGACACATATGACCGAAGTAAGCTATCTCAAGTCTGATTGTCGGAATCCAAAAAGGAATGGTCTCAAGGATCAAATGCACGACTCATACTGACCTCATACTACCTATGGACAGAACACCAAACAGCTGCCAGATCTTATATGTAGTTTCCCCTCAGCAATCACGGCCCATCGTAAAGCTGCACACAAAGAAAGATGTTTTTGTTTCGCAGGAACAAGCAGGACCGGGGGGAAACACCCAAGTGCGAACAGAAATTCAAATCGGCCTACAAGAGCTGGAAGAGCGACTGGCGGTACGAGGAACGAAAATCGCGAGGAACGCTGCAGCGGGCCGATGTGCAAAGCAAGCAGGTCAACCCTTTTCTTGAACTGGAGGCACGCGGTTTCGCCATACTCCAGCGGCGGCATCGTTTGATGCAATTACTGGGAGACGAGGAGGATCCAGCCGTCACGGAGAAGCGTCCACCGGGTTATATCACCCAGACGCAGCGAGAAGACTTCCAAAAGGCTGTTCGAGAGCTCATGGTCGACTACTGGAAGAATGCAGCCGCATTGCGAAAGATGCAGGAGTCGTGGAAATGTGAATATGAATTGGAGAAGCTGCAGCTGCTCCGTGCACATAAAGACCGCCATGGCCGGCCGTATGCTTGGGTTTGGGACCAGGAGAAATGCGCGGATCTTGGAGGCTGCTGTGGGCAGACATGTGGCTGCTGCAAGAAACCTCTACTGACATATCTGCGTCCTTCGAACGATGTTGAGGAAGTCCACGGGGTCTATGGACATTGTACCGAGGAGTGTGCTTGTTGCATCAGGTGTGGCCGTCGTCGACCTCCCCAGCCCCGACTTCTTCCAGCGCCTGATATGAGTTTGCTTTGAGGCTAAATGTTATGATTGCTTGAGCATCGCTGCGAGTGCTCTCCATCACGGTCATAGAAGAAATAGAACCCCTCTGAGTTAGAAGATGAAGCAAGTTGGTTGTGGTCCTAATATCTGTATAATAATCTGCCTATGCCCCAATCAGCCATCCGGCCCATGCCTCTCGGGTCGGGACGGGCCGCTGATAAGACCCTCCACCTAGATAGCATCAGACACACTGTAGTAATGGCAGAAGTTGCGTTGTGGCAGCACTGGTCGAGTCAGACATATATCCCATCCAGTTCCCTTCAACACGCCATGTCCGATTACGTAGCCAAGAAAAAGCTATAGGATATCATCCTATAGGCGAAAAAAGTGAATCAAGCCAGAGCAAAGACAGGATGGATGACTAGGACCAGAGGAATTCTCCGTATCCCGTGAAATGATCCAGAGGTGGCAGAAGTCATCATATTCTCTAGCCTTTCCGACGAGGAACAAAGCAACGGCTACGGTGGAGTGGCATCCACGACAACGGGCGAGGAGACAGGACTACTGTCTTATGTCTCTGTCGGGCTTATTCGGTCTGCGTGTCGCTAGTCTCTATTGTTGGCTTGCTAGAACATAGTAGGAATAGAACGTAATATTGCGCATTTGTTCATTGCCTTATAAGTTTGACAGTTCATCAAAGTACATAATCAATTCAGCAAAAGCAAAGCACCTGTCGATGTTGATCTACTTAACGGCATCGGCTTTCATAGATCGCCCGACTAGCAATTAGGCCCCTTCGATAGAAATTGACATGAGTATAAAACGAATATAAACACGTAGAATCATAAAACTGCAGTTTCAACAATAGCTGAATGATACTTTGCAAGTCCAAGACCAATCTTGAAAGCTCTGCCGGACAATGTGAGGAAGACATGGTTAATTCAGACCCATGCCACATTATATGAAATGTGGGATGTCTATTTGTAAAATGGAAGCACTCGGATTTCCCCAAAGGTCACCTTCTTAGGCCGTGACCGGCAGTGCAGCCTGTCCCTGTTAATCGGCCGAGGTATCCTCGATGCCCAACTCGTCATGTAGACCGATTTCAAGATAGAGGCCCTGGAACGACCTATGTTCATTTGCTGTTTTTCTCGCGCTGGGGAATTCGACGATGCTGCAGCTGTTGAGTTAGAAGCCACCAGGCTTGGGATACGGCTGGAAAGCGCACGCATCTTCTTTTGATGTGCGGAACGCCTCCAACGGCTAGTGTCATGTCTAGAGCTCTCAGTTGTCGAGGACAGAGAATATGTGAGGTCGCTGTCGGTCTCGGAATTATTTGCATAGTGGCAGCGATAGTAGTAGGAGTAGTAGTAATAGTAGTAGTAAACTATACAGGGATCTGTAACCGGCGGAGGCTCTGGGGCTTCGCTGTCGGTCTGGCAGTCATTTGGATAGTGGTGATTGTAGTAGTAGCAGTAGTAGTGGAGGTAGTAGTCAACTATACAGGGATCTGTCGCGGGTGGAGGCTTTGGGACTTCGCTGTCTGTCTGGCACTGGTTTTGATGTTGACAGTCTAGACCTTGACAGGTGCTATAAACATGAGTTACTTGTTCATCACAGTAGTCCATATTTAATATACTTCTCGTGAACTTCTGCATACCTTTCCGCATTGAAGAGGATGTATATAAGAAAGACTAGCACGGGTACGAATATAACAGCGAATATATTAGAGAAAGTCTCCATGGTGATACTAATGTGAATGCCACGAGTCGGATGAGGTTGTTCCAGTTGGGAGTGATTGGAGACATCTATCGACCCAACCGAAGAAGAAAAGTATTGGAAAAGGGGATAAAGTTGTAGATTGATTTGATACTTGACACCAAAGAGTAATAGATGGGTTGGCGTATTGAGTGATCTGGAGGAAAGTACACGAAGTAGGTGGGGATATGTTGCATGTGGTCTAAAACAAATCATGACGTATTTCGCTTCCTTCTTGTACAGCAAGGCATCGTTCGGAACCAGAATAGCTTGAAATATCAGGCGTGTTTTTGTGGTTGAGTTGTGGTGCAACTATTATTAGATTCCAGTTTCTCTGTGGTTACTGTCTGAACTTTCGTACCAAATCCTACGACATAATTATGCCAGCAACCAGTAGATATTCCATACTCATATAATATGGATATCAAACGCTTATATAGTAAGGATGCCAAAATTCGTACAGGAACTGGCGCCAATTTTGAATGCGCTAGACTGGCTCGCCCTAGATCTTGGACCTCAGCTTTCACGAGCGTGTTCAACCGCAGAATCAAATCAACTTCTATCACTAGCTACGGCACCATTTATGGTCTTGTAATAGGAGAACGTGTTCAGGTAAAGCTTCCAATCCTTTGGTCTATCTTTGGTCTATGTAATTATACAGGAGGCAACCCTCTCCCTCTCACCGTCTCACCAAATTGACACCAAGAGGAAAAATATGCTTCTTTTATAGAGACAAATTTAGATTAAAAAAAAAGAAAAGAAAAGAAAAGAAAAAGAGAAGAAAAAGAAAAGAAAAAAACATCCAGAGACATTAGCCCCTACACCATCTGTCCTGGGGACAGTCTCACCCCCTTCTTTAGTGCTGCCAGGCTGGATGCACCCTGGTGCCTGGCTGAGCCAGCCCTTAGTTTCGATCTGCTTATGGCTGCCACGGCGTAGCGCTAAGTCTGGCTTCTTTGGCTGGCGGCCCTGTGTGGGTGGTGGGGAGGAGAACGAGCCGCCCGTGATGTGGGATGAGGTACCCCTTGTGGCTTGATGTCGCGCTCTGCCACAAGGCCCTACGTCTTGGGATCCTCGATGGGAATCTTGACGTGCTTCAAGCGGAGGGCCGAAGCGGCGAACCCGGAGGTGACGGGCTCGTCGGTGGCTTTGTGCCCGCTGAATGATACGGGGAGAATTGCCCCGGCATACCCGGAGAAGGGAGACTTAGTGGAGAGGGGCTCAGCAGATCTGGAGGGAGCTCCCTGGAGCGGGACTCGCCAGATGGGGCTTGTTGGAAGGGAATGGCCCCTAGGGAAGCTTGCCGGACCGTGTGATGGTAGCGGTGATGGCCCTGTTGACCCAGGCGCGCGATGAAGAAGTTGGAGGAGGAGGTGTGCCATAAGGGCACGTTCCACTGCAACTGGTATGAGTTGTGACTGTTCCCGTTCTTCTTAAACACAGTCAAGGGAGCCAATATCGGAACTAACCCATTATGGCGGCGAACAATTTCCATGAACAGTGGCAAGGGGGATACGGCCACGATGGCCACACAACAACGGAGGACAATGACAACCGCAGTGCTGTTAAAGGAGAATTGGGCTAAGACGTGTTCGAGTGATTGTAGAAGCTCCGATACGACGGCTCTCTGACGTGAGAGGGCAAGAGGATGGCAGAACAAGATGTGTTCTTTCAAACCTAGGTGTATAGCATGAGTCATTAGTGTATGCTTTGGCAGTTAGCTGGAAGGGACGGGATAGCTAACCGGATATGACCTTTCCAAGAACTTTGGGAAAGAGCAAGGCTCTTAGGAATCGAGTACTGGTGGATAAACGTCGATTAAACAGGTGTACACCCACGGCAAGTGCAGTTGAGAAGTTGTTTCTCATCTGAAAGGTCAAGAACATCGGATGACTTCTGGCGACAAATGGATGATTCGACGAATCACAGGTATACAGCAAATAATGATGTGGTACTTTCTGCTCTCCAATTCCAACAAGGCAATGAGCAAACCATCGTTCACTTTCATGCCGTATGTACCGTAGGGTTAATGGGATTGCTCATACCTTAGTACTGTAGATTATCGACTTGAATTTCCTTTGATCATCTGATTGGACTGTTATCGCGTTCTCGTTACTCTACCTTATAAGACACTACGTGAACAAGGCGGAAGTGCCTGTATCATATATATGGAAGGCCTAGTGTAAGGTACAGTATGCCATTGAAGGCTTATTCCTGTTTGTCCTCCCCAGCGTTATCATCATGTCCCTCGTGGGAGTTGGTGCGGCCACCGCAACGGGGGCAGATTCGCAGACGACCACTATAGTAAACATGAATTAGTAATTGTCCTCGTTTGGTAGACAACCAAAGTCCTCAGTATCACTTACAGGCGCCTATGGCGGATAATCTCCATGAGAAGTGGTGATCTCGTGACAGCGAGGAGTAGAACACAGCCGCATATACCAACTGCAAAGATGGTGGCGTCAAATACAAGCCAGACGTCTGGGGAGGTAGTCATTCTGAATCGATTGGCTTGTATTAAAGAGGAATTCAAATCGTATAGCAGGGTCGATTTGACTTATGATGTGATAATGTCAGATGGATTGAGGTGATTGGAGTTGTTTACAGAAGGAAAACTAAGTATGGCAATTTATAATGCTATGAGCAGTTTTCCAGGGAACCACACTACATATTCACTAAAAATGAAGGAACAAGAGTTCATTGCCTTGCCGGCTTTGCCAGCCAATCCACTGGGATAGTGATGCCGTGGATATCTCTACGCTTCACTCTATTAAGAATCCAAGCTGGACGCTTTCATTCTGGCGGGAATTAGGAAACTTACGAGTCTAGAGAGTGTTACCATTCCCAGGATCACAGCAACAAGCAGGGGCACAATCCGATATCCGCTTACCGGTATGTCCACACTTCCTACATGCAGATCTGCCTGGATGGATAGCTATAGTATCAGTGAGAAATTATCATTACAATTTGCTTTCGTACTGACGCTGAAGAGCGTCCGAGATGCAGGCTTTGGCATCATTCTAAGATACGGGGATCGTATTTTGTCTGAAATCATCTGATTGATTATTCTGATTCCTTATTCATCTAACAGTACATGAATGCAAATTCAGTTCTATTTGACCTTTTGGAAGCTGGCCCCCAGGCCCTTAGCGCCGGACCTCCCTGTGGCGGAGGTGGTGGTGTTCGTGGTGGTGGTCGTGGTCGTGGTCATGGTCATGGTCGTAGTAGTAGTGGAAGTGGAAGTGGTTGACGACGGGACAGACACAGGTTTCGCTATAATGAGCATTAGTTAGTGACTATCCTTGTCTCTAGATGCAGTCGAAGTATTTAGCATTGGAAACTAACCCATGTCTATTGCGGACGAGCTGGACTAGAACCGGGGATCTCGAAATGATTGTCACCAAAACACAGAGAAATATAGCAATCATGATAATATTGACATTGAAATCCACACGGACTCCGCCGAATTTGAAGTGGTCGGCCATTTTGAGGGAAATGAAGGGAACGTTTGCTCGTGATATGTGAGGGTAGAATGTGATGGAGTTGTTTACAGGAGGAAACCCAAGTAGGAAATCTACGATGCTACAAATGATACTACCTTTTGATAAACAACCCTTTGAGAAAGGTCTGCAACATGATGTCATCAATATTCACTTCTTTTACCTCCTCTTATAAGCAACCAGGTTGCAGGATTTGGGCATTCTGTTAACTCAGTGGTCATCCTACGGCCTGCCATGCAACCAACGCCCTCGGTGCATTACAAAAGGAATAGATGACATTTGCAACGAATTGATGCTGGAGTCGTTAAAGCAACTGAGTTAGCCTTACAGATTACAAGATCGTGAAAATGATATCGCAGATAGCCCAGCGACGGTGAACATGTACTATATTGGTAGTATGTCGCCCCGCCAAAATATATTTCTCCCGCATTCATTGGCTTTCGCTGCCCAAACAACCCAACAGAGCCTCTCCTCATTATTCTCAACATGAATTCTCACCGTCTATGGAAGAGAAGGAGGCTGAGATCCAAAACCTAAGCGCCCATGAAATACGGAGTCGACATATTAAAGAGGCTCAGACCCAGAGTGGCTGGTGACCAGGCATTGCGGCTGTGCAGCCCGAGGCATTCTTTGGTACGGTCAACTCTTGCTTAAAACGCCATGATCCGATTCCGATATATACGGTTACATATTCAGAAATGCTAGGAAGAATAAAAGCGTTTGTCTCATCAGCCCCGCGATTTTTCTGGTGTCCTAAATCTCCTTTTCGCCCACAAATGCCGGCGCTACGGGACGTCATCGCGCGGGAGAAATTCCCAACTTTGTCAGACACCGAGGCCATTTATCTTTTCGCATCTTCATTCCCAACAGAGCTCTCTCATCTCCGAAATGCTAGTGCTACGGTTGAATCCGGCACCAGCACACCTCTCGGCTGCTTGGATGGGAAAACACCATCCGCGCTGATCTACGGCGCAGAATTCGCAGAGGTCAACCGCACCCTTATCAGCATGCTGGCGCTCAAGTGGATTCTGGCAGACGACTACAAGTCTTTTATACGCGGACAATCAGAAGGAAAATTGACACCGGAGACCTTCAAGCACATGCGGGGGTTGATCACCCGGGATTTGCACAACCCAGACGACATCTACGCGTTACTGGTAGCGATCGTCATCGACGATATAGGCAAAGACTCTACCCTAGCCACAGGCCACGAGGCTGAAGCTGAAGTGAACCATTCTGAGATAGTCTATTATGCTGCGAGAGCAGATCGCATCCCAGCGCTGGCTGGTGTTCCCCACCGTGCCAGGGAAGCCATCATGCAGAGCCTGCAGATCGGAAGCAAGCTTAATCTCTCGCAGCTGGTGCAGGGTGAGTGCGTGCCGGCGAGTCTTTCTGTGCTACGGTCGATAGGCGAGAGTGAATGCGGCTACGACATGCGAGCGATGGTGACGCTGCTCGATGTCGCTGGCGCGGGTGCCCATCGCGATGCCAGGGGTTGCGCGATGATGACCGAGTCAGTCTGCCGGGCTTATCTGCGCACTATTGAAGTTGTTGGAGAGTTTATTCGAGGAGACATTCCGACTGAGCGCGCATGCTACGACCGGATCCTGATGGACCGGGCGGAACTTCTTCATGAGAAGGGATTTGTGCTGCTTTCTGTTGAGAATGCCGAGGAGCGAACGCTACTACGCCTGCTCTGTATGGGCCGGGGCGACAGCCTAGACTCGGCTGAGATATTCCAGGCAGCTTTTCAGCTTTTACCAGAGTCTAACAGACGCCGACTGGTTGACGGGCTCAGTGTAGATGGCATTGGCGACGGGGTGGCGATTGTTCCGTACTATGCGCCAGGTCTGCTGGCCGAGGTTATGCGCGGTGTCCACAACAAAGAGCATAGTTGCATCGTTGCTGCGTTGTGTGCATTTCTGCGGTTTCTGGCGCGTGTGTTCGACAGTCCACGGCCTGGTGCAGACGGAATTCAAGAACGCGACCTGTCGTTTGTCCAGGATGTGATCAAAAGCGACAGATTCTGTGACAAACCGTCCATCCTGGACAATGTCAAGCTGCCTTGGATGGCCTCGAGTGATACTATTGATCCACGTTTATGACTTGATGACACTGTACGATTACGACAACTTATGATTACGGCATGCAGAGGAACGTAGGGTTATGATGTATCTAATAGAGACAATACAATATTTGGAAGTCGTACTCATAGTGTCATACTGATTTTGTCGCCGGTGGTATACCCTCTGCGGCCTCCCGCATGAAGCGATCTTTGGCATCGACCGGATCCCACGTGGACCCGTCGTAACAGTTGCTCAGAGCCTCCTGCAGCCATTTTCGCCAGGCATCTGTCGACGGCGCGAGCTTGCTATTTTGAACCCACTCTACCCGTCCAGTCTCACGGATAGCATACCACAGCGTCTCCGTATAACTTGGCATTCGCTTCGTCGGTCGCGCCTTGGGTGCAGCCCTCTTGATCTCATACCGGCTCATATCCCACGTCGACTTACGGTGCATCATCAACGGCACCGCCCAGTACAAGATATTCAGAATGACATACGCGCTACCGATGGCCGCCTGCATCGTCCAGCCACAGTTGTTGAACAGAATCACAGAGGCCATGAGCAGGACCGTGCTGGTCCCCAGCAGCACCCGATGCCATGTATCGCCAAACACATACCGGCACGTCTCCGTGCCCCCGTACAGCTCCCGCGTGATCTCCTCCTCGCACCGGACGACCACAAACGCCCCGTGCCGCGTTGCGATTACAATATCACCCCGCGGAACCTTGGCGTCGGTCGGCCGGTGCGAGAGGACGGGGTACCATTCCGAGGAAAGACAGGCCAGACTGGTCGACAGCGACATGGTTACGAGCGCGATCATTGCGAGCCCATCGTGGATGAGACCAGCCCAGAGGAACAGACCAATGGTCATGACCACCGAGATCCAGTTTACGACATTGAGAGCGCAGAATCTCTTCACGGGGATGTAGACTGGTTCTGCGACTCCCTCGGTCAAGACTCGCGGTCGGGACCGCAGCTCCTCCGCCTCCTTCGACTCCTTCTGTGCGTAGTGGATGTCGTACACGCGGAACTCGTACTGCTGCAGCGTTGCGACATCGTGAATCACATCGGCGAAGAAATTCAGTTCTGTGAGGTGTAGTCCGGAATAGACGCCTGTGATGACGACGTCCTTGATGGAGGGGAGTCGAGCCGGTCGCTCAGTCTTGAGTACGGTCTGCGGGGCTGGGAGGAGGCGCGGGAGCCAGGCATACGAAGAGGCGGTGATGACCTGCACGTGTCGCTCAAGCGTCGATTCACCAATGATGGCGAGGAGGCTGACGATGTCGAAGCGCCAGCCATCCTGCGTCGATTGTCCGGCTGGTGGGAACCATGGCATTACTCCGTAGTCCGTACTACCGAATGTGGTACAGAACCAGAAAGACAAAATGTCAAGGACTTTTGAAAGGGAATCATTGACAGACAGCGAGATTAGTCTTTTTAGCCTGACGCCTATTTCTTGGCTTGTCCAGTCGATTAACTGCCGATGGATGGAGGCTCGTATTCGACCTGAAATCCATTCGCCGAGAATGCCCTGTTGTGTTACCTGCACAACATGATTCCCTCTCAGGCTCACTACACTATGCAGGCGATAGGTATCTGTGATAAATAATGCAAATAGATGGAACGTCCGTTCAAAGTAAGAAAATAGAGAGTGCTCTTCTCTGAAAGGATGTAATGAATTCGGTGGATGGATCCCAGACGCTAGAACGATATGTGGGGTCCCGCGCCGCGTCGTGCCGTGTCAACAAAGAGGAAGATAGATAGTCCTCGAGCAGAAAACCTTCCGTTACTTTTTTTCCTTCGTGAACAGGAGGGCAATAATACGTGGCTCCTTCCTTTCGATATACAACTAAATTCTACAATAATATTTGCAGGAATGTTCCTAAAGCTACAGGCAGTTATGGAGATGCTATGGATCAATGACACGTGACGCGACTCAGAATGGGAACCTAAGGCACCACCCGATCCTCCCCGAAGTTGACGCAAAATTGGAAACAGCCACCCAATCATATCGAGTCACCTCATTATCTGATCTTGATGATCAGATTAGATAAATCCCATCAATTTGGGGACACTGGGATATCTTCATCCAGATATTGCATCCATGTGTCCCGCCATGTCTTCCTACAATATTTGACGCCAATATTGTTCTTAAGAGTCGAGATAACCCTGTGCGACCCCGTTCTCGAGACTGACACCACTATCTCAATTCTTCGTGTGGGTCAACTCTGCCTTCCGATTCCGACCTGATCCCATACTGTCGCCGACTTCCATTTCTTCCCCCTTCCATCCTTCCTCATGGCCAACCATGTTGTTCTTCAACTGCTTGATAATCCTATCGCACATACAACGTGCTCTATCACAGATCCTTCCGCCAAATGAACGCTGTGTAACAGCTGTATACACAGCATACGACTATATTTCTTTCTCAGGCCACCCGAATAAAGGCCTGTGGGCGCCACGATGCCAAAATCGGCTACGCGTGCTATCGATCTACGCATCCTCTGCCCTGTATTGCTCATATGCGGAAAGAGAAACAGGCTTCGCACTGCTTGAGGCCCAATGTCGAGAATACGCCGGTGTAAACTTGATTCCTCGTGAGGAGTTTGCCGCGAATCTGACGGATGAAGCGATCAGTCGGATGCGGACCGTTGACTTTCGACAGTTGCCAAAGAAGGAAAATGTTGGCGCTCCTATTTTGATCTCGGAATTGTACTACAGTCGTGTCTTCCGAACAATTGTGAGTATGTCAGCCTATTTGAGAAGGTATAACATACTTACCAAAACAGGATGCCTGGCAATTTGAGCTTTGGTCGCATTATGCATTTGGGTAAGTCATTAATTCAATGGAACATCAAGCTAGAGCTGACGGGCTAGATACCTGGGATATGCGTATTGGGCCGTTGTGATCGCAATTGGAGCTCTACACAAACTGGCTCTCCATGCGATTTGTTCAAAGCGAGCGCGAACACTACCTTTTCTTACCCCGGCACTGTTGATATATGACTGGATACAAACCAATTTGATTATTCCTGCTCCCCTCGCATCGAGCAGACGTCAGCTTCTTTGGTGGACATTTCCAGGCCGCATCCATGCGATCGTCGTCTTGCTTTTCTGGATTCTGAGCATCGTGCTCTGCCTCGTCGGTTATCGAACCTTTTCAGACAATATCTAGTAAGCGCGCTAGTGATGTTGATCTGCAGATGCTGACTGCTACAGCTGGCCCGAAATATCGGCACAGCTCCTGCGGTATGTTGCAGACCGCACGGGAATCCTCTCCTTTGCCAATATACCTCTTTTATGGTTGTTCGCAGGGCGAAATAACATATTTCTCTGGGCTACCGGATGGAGCTATTCAACTTTCAACATTTTTCATCGCCATGTGGCGTGGATAGCGACTCTTCAGGCAGTTGTGCATACAATATTGTATATTGTTTTGTTCGTTCAAGGTGGGTTGTCCTCTCCACTTGCGTGCCACCGCTTATGGTTTCTTCAGCGGGAAATGCCTGGAAGAAAATGCAAAAGCCCTATCTTTTATGGGGGACACTGGTGAGCTAGTCCATTTCTTCTAGAAATCAATTGGGTCTGCAGACTGATTACGACAGGCTATGCTCGCCATGATATTGGCCTTCCCATTTGCGGTGGACTGGTTTCGACGAAGGACGTATGAGACCTTCCTCGTCCTTCATGTTCTCTTCTCCGTTGTCGCTCTTGTCGGTTGCTTCTAGTGAGTGCATCTTCCTCGGAGAGACCGTCTCTAACAGCCTGTAGTCACGTCATCATATTCGAGGACCACGAATATTGGTTCTATCTTTGGCCGACCGTTGCGATCTGGATATCCGATCGGGTCTTACGCCTGATTCGGATAGTTTACTGCAACTTGCATATCCGACTCGGTTCCTACAGCCGTTTCCAATGTACAGAATGTGTCGCAACATATGACAAGGCTGCTGATATCATTAGCCTGGAGCTGATCCCCGGTTCAGGTCTGCAGCCAGCTCCAGGACAATACTACTTTCTTTACCAACCCTTCCGGATCACGGGGTGGGAAAGTCACCCGTTCACGCTGGGGTCGTGGTCATATGCAGATCGCACACCTTCAACTCAATGCCGTGGTCTAAAAAGTGGCTCGACCATTGATGTCACGGAAATTCCTCTTCTGCCTGACACTCCGAGTTCGGGCTCAGACTATGGCTCAATCGATACTTCAGCCGACCCGCCACAGCGCAAACTCGCACTGCAATTCTGGATCCGACCCTATGACGGATGGACTCGCCATCTCCGCGATCAATGCTTGCAATCGTCAACTCGGACAATCCGGCCAAACATCCTCACTGAAGGACCATACGGCGAGCAATGCCCGCTCTGGAAGTATGAATCCGTCCTACTGATCGCAGGCGGGACCGGGATCGCCGCCGCGGTACCTTACATCCACGATCACATCATCCGCTCTTCGTTCGGTCAAACCACGACGCAGGACATCCATCTCGTCTGGACCGCTCGGCAGCCAGCGCTAATCCGCGATATTGCGGGGAGAGAGTTAAAGCAGGCTCTTTGCAGGAAGGACTTCCGTGGCTCGTTTTATGTTACTTCTGAGTCTATGTCTCAGGCTGAGATTATGGATGGGGTGGAATTTGTGTGCGGACGACCAGACTTACAGGCAATAATTACAGCTCATGCGGAAGAAGCGAGGCTTAGTAGTTCGTCTGTGTTGGTGTTGGTTTGCGGGCCTTCGGGGATGGCTGATCAGGCCCGCGCGGCTGTGCATCAGGCTATGCGGCGGGGATGTCGATCAATTCAATACGTGGAGGAGGCTTTTGATTGGTAACTCATGATACCTTCAGTTAAACTTGGCAATATATTGTGTGGCAGGATACATTATATTGCATATGCGGACTAGGTGTTCTTGAACCTTGAACATCTCTGGAACATGCCGATTTCGCAAGAAACGCAACTGAGACTATGAGAGATATTCGAGGATTGAATCGTCGCTCATCCAGCAGTCACGGAAAGTCGGCAACTACCAAAGCGAATCACTGCTGGCGTATGCAGTAAGCAAACACAGCCTTAGGAAATCTGACAAGCTGAACAGCGAACCTTCTTCTGGTTGGACGCTACTAATTCGGCGGTCCGCGTCGATCATCTCTAAGTAGTTAGAGGACGGATAAGCAATCACTCAAGAGGCTTGAATATGAGCCTAGGTATGAGACATCTGAACACCGGGAAGGTCGGTCATCAACATTTCAGCTGATACTGAAGCATGGTACTACAGAGTCAGCCTTGCACACCAGAAACCCGACCAACCAACATCAAATGTTGCGACTCACAACAGGAACGACTTTATGATGATCTAAGTGGTAGACAATACCTTCAAACATTCTTAGATCGGGCGTCCTTGACCATAAAACTCATAAGTCTGACTACGAAGTGGAGTACATACCATCGGACTTGTCCGGTTCACCCTGATCCGCGACCAACTGGTTACACAGAAGTCTCACAGTCACAAGATCCAGCTTGTCGGACAACACCTTATAGACAACCACGAACGCGTCGATCCTCCCGTCATCCTTGTTATGCGCTCCATCATCAAAAATTATCACGCGTCATCATGAGACCATCCAGAAGATTATTCCCCTTTTTCCTCTTCTCTCTGGTGATTGCCCCCGTCTTCTCGACCTGCTACTACCCCAACGGCACAGCCGACGACAACTACCAACAATGCAACAGAGTCCAAGGCGTCAACGGCATGTGCTGCGCACTCGACCGCCCTAATTCCCCGGGAGGGCCAGACTCCAAAGGGTATACGGCAGACATCTGTCTGGAGAACGGCCTGTGCCAGAATATCGTGCAAAAGATGAGTACAGGCCAGATGGTCTACACGTACTGGCGGACTCTGTGCACCAGCACGGACTGGTCGACGAACGGATGCTTGAACGTCTGCACTCAGGGCGAGGTATTTATCTCCTTGCGGATCCATAGGAGCAGCATAACTAATGGCTATTGGTTAGGTATATCCGGGGCATACTGTCCCGCTCACGCCGTGCGAGAATTCCCCGGGCTCGAGGACCTGGTGCTGTGGGCAGAATAACACTGCGTGTTGTGGGACTTCAGAGGCGATCATACTTGCGCCGATGCTGGCGGTGGGGCTTTTGGCGCCAACTTCGTCGGTGGCGTCTACCTCTGTTAGTACGGCATCTCCCTCGAGCGCTTCTCCGGCCACGACAGCGGCCTCTGTGCCTACAACGGCGATATCTGCATCTGCATCGCAGCCACGCGATTCCTCCCTATCAACAGGCGTGAAAGTAGGAATTGGGATTGGTGTAGGTGTGGGATCGGTAGTGGTGTTTGGTTCCTTGGCCGTTCTCCTCGTCAGATGGCGAAGGCGATTGGTTTCGAGGCGGCCGTTCCCCTTCAGCGGTCTGGGGATTATCTCCCGAGGCCAGGTGCAGGAGAAAGCAGCCGATGGACCGCTGACAAGGCATGAGCTCTCAGGTCGCAATGTAGTGGAAGCGGAAGGGGAGAGTCCTGTTGTCGGTGGAGGTAATAAGCCCGGAGCTTTTACTACGTAGCTGTAGGAGAGTGGTGATGGTGGAGTCGGTGAATAATAGTTCAATGAAGTGAAGCACAAAAGACTAATAGTAATGAGAGGTGTATGTGAGCAGAAACTGTATGTACGGGGTATGCTGATCTCCATTGCCTTCTCCTAGATAGGCAGACTCATTCGAGTCATGGCAGAGGCAAACAAATCCGGATGCGTTGGACTTTTGTTCACCTGGCCTTGACTCATGCCATTGAGGCGTCTGTTCAACGGATTGCATTGCCTCGACAATCACCCCTTAAAAAAGAAAGCTTCGTTTCTATCAGGCTCAGCATTGTGCGTCTATGAAGCGCCAACTTCTGAAGATGATCGCTCGTATGAGCTGGTCGTTGTCCTAACCAGTCATTTGACGCTGTAACAAATCTCGAAATAGACTACCTACGATGTAGAAGCAGGCACGGATACGTCTGGAGGAATTGGACGTATTGAGATTGTCAGACAAGGAGACAAATCAGAGTGCCAGAGGTCATGTGTACGACCGTCCTTGATTCCTGCTGGGTGGCTGTCTGGGCGATCAGCAGTAAGCGGTAAGAACCTCATCCTAATGACCTTGCATTACTTCGAGTCAGACAATTGATCATATTTCCTGAAGGCTATGGCACTGAATACAGTTCGTACTTTTTGCTTTGCTGTGATCTGTGCTCTGTTGCGGTGACCGAGCAAGGGAAATGATAGAGGTTGGACATCTGCTGCACTATCATTTCCACCAGCTAGAAATGATCTTCTTCATTAGCCCAGTGCATGAGTTCATCTAGTAATAAAACCCCTGTCGCAGCTCATTTTAGCTAGATCCTGGAGGCGACACCATTGAGGCCTGAGGGTATGGCAGCCAGGCAACCGAACCTAGCGCTGTCGATCCTGAGAAACAGAGTTCACACGTCTGGGGTTCTTTTCTCTTCCAAGGTTCTTCCTAGCACTAACTTCGGATCCTCCCTAGAGACCAACTCCATCTTAATCTTTGGCTCGGGAAGTGAGGTAAAGGGTTGCCAATCTGAAGTCAAACTGAGCATCTCGCCATCATGGACTCTTTGAGCCTCGTCATATAGAGTAGACTGCAGAGTCAAACACGGGAGTACGGACAGAATTACAAAAAGACGCCGAGATAAGACTGGTCAAGACGGTGAGGATTGCCGATCGATGAAGCTAAATAGGTAAGAAGCGGACCTGTCAACACTCTGACGTCCAGGACGTTCTTTATGATGAGTTGGCGTACCACTAATCCAAGCCAAGATTATTGCTTTTTCTATGGGACAAGCAGGGACACTGTTCCTCGCTTTGCAGTGTACGTCGGTGACCTCGAGACAGTCCTCATTTTACTATTTTGCAACCTCTTAGAGACTATTCTACGATGTAATTTCCGCATGCACGAGCTATAATGAACTCGAAACATACAAACTAGAAACAAAGCAAGGACTGAAAGCTTAGGCAGCATAGTATCGAGATTTACTTGAAGAGCCAAAATTAGCTCTCCAGAGGGAGCAAGGGATATACCAAACTATTGAATGCAGGGGCCACACCAAGCACATGGCTTGCCTGCCCTACTTGGCTTCAATTCCGGACAAGCAGGTCTTATGAAACGAGCAAAAAAACACAAGAAGTTCCAAGGCACGAAATCCACTAATTATGCACAGTCTGTTGACATTCAGGCTGCAGTGGGTGTTGGGGCTGCAGTATGCGGAGATCTACATGTGATATATCATATATCACATTTGGGGACCCCGAATGAGCCCCTGACACCCTGCAGGTCCGAGAGTTTGTACGCCAAACTCAATTCCAGGATGATTGCATCGGTGGGGCATTTATTGTTGATGGCTATCAAACTGGGCTACACGAAGCACTGTGCGGTGGCCAGAGTGCTGCAGGATTGGTTCCTGCGCGAATCTGTGGATGTGAACTATTGGAGCCTTCGTCTCAGCCAGCCTCAGTATGATCGAGACTTGAATGAGTTCCAGCAAGGAGCCCAACAGTGGCGTTGAGTGCTCGAAAGAGGAATCGTTCAACGAGTCTGTTTCAAAAACAACAACACCAAAGAGGGTTGACAGAGGTATAAAAGGGCAGTCAAATCCTGCTGTTCTGCTTCTTCAACGCAAACAATCCATCCATTCATCCATTCACTCAATCAACCTTCTTTCACTTTTTCGACGCTTTTAAGCAAATTCCTTCAACCCATCCTCAAAATGAAGTTCCTCGCTGTTGCCTCTCTCCTCGCTGCCACCGCTCTGGCTCTCCCCAACGGAGGTGCCGTCCACCCTACCTTCGCCAGCGCCGACAAGTACACTCTGCAGCAGGCCCAGAACAAGTGCGGTGAGCACACCACTCTGTCTTGCTGCAACCATGTCTCCAAGGTTGGCGACACCACCGCCTTCAACTACGGCCTCCTGAACGGCCTTCTCGGCAACGCCATCAGCGGCCCTGAGGGTGTTGGTATCCTGTCTGGCTGCCAGAAGATCTCTGTCACCGGTAAGCATTCGTATCAAAAGTCGAGAAAATCTATGCCTCTAACATTCCGTAGGCCTGCTGGGTCTCAGCGACCTTCTCAACAAGCAATGCCAGCAGAACGTTGCTTGCTGCCAGGACAACAAGTCCGTTGCTGTAAGTTCCTTCAAGTCCTTCCGTAGTTGGCACTCTTCTCACGGTATTAGACTGGCGGTCTCATCAACGTTGCCACGCCGGCCTGCGTTGCTCTCGGTTCCATCAACTAAGCCAGTCGCGAGTGATGCCGTTTTCCCGGGCCCTTGGTCGATATCTTCGGGGTCAACGGTTGCATATAGCACTTGGTGTACAGCTGCATGCTCCTGGCGGATATAAAATTTTCTCTTCTTGGTCGGATGATTGATGGTCGAATCTCATCTGGACTGTTACTGTATCCATTTAGTGCATTCTGTCCTATTGGACTAGTGGAGTGTTAATAATCGAGAATATGCCATACTCTTAATCATCACTTGTTTTCTTGGTAGTCAATCAACCAGTTTTTCTTAAACTGCAGCTCATCGTCATAAGCAATTATGTCTCTAGATCGCCTTGGATTGCTAGGTCGCCGCTCTAATAAGCCTTTTGAACCAATATCACGTTCTTGGGCGATGGTAAGATATAGAAGACTGAACAATGTACCTAACAAACCTCCATGAATCACCAAGTCCTAGATATCGACACATTTGCTTTGATTCACTATGGCACACTCCTGTCTTTTAATGCAGACCACTATTATTGTAAAGCAACTGGTTTTATATATCTAGTGGCACTATTGGATCATTTCACCGGTGAACCGGCTCGCCGTCATAAGGATATTTATATATATACACATATATATCGAGAGCTACCCAACTCTATTTACAAGTGGATATACAATTATTGCAATGGAGAGTACGCGATGAAACCAAGTATCAAATCATTAAATCGATACTATATTCAAACTTCAATTTCGACGTAATGGATGAAGAATGAAATAAACGCCGGTCTGCCTAAGGCAACCGGGATCGCACCCGAGTCCAACTCCCGAGCACGCAGAAGTGCGGGAAGTACTTCTTCTACCCACACCACCCAGAAATGCATCAATTCCTGCACAATAATCACCACAGCATGATACATATCATATAAATGACCAGCTTATCTCCTCCACACCCACGCCCAGACGAAGCGTCCGAAAAGCCTCCGAAACGACGCAAAGTCGCGGTCGCATGCGATGAATGTCGCGCTCGGAAGGTCCGGTGCGACGGCATCCAACCCGGTAGGTCTCGCTGATTTCTCCCGACTTCCGCGTCAGCGTTGCATCGGAATATGAACCGCTTTGCCGACTGCATCTCACATCTTTGGTAACTTAGTCTGTGGGCCGTGTATGAAGCGATCGGATGCGCGCTGTGTTTACACTGGTGAGCCGGAGAAACGCAGAGCCGTGCGCAAGTGAGTCTTTGCCTGAGGCATCGATTGGTTGATGGTTGCCAGCTGATGTTGATTTCAACGGTGCAGCTACATCGCTACTTTGGAAAATAAAATCAGACATCTGGAGAACAAGGATGGGCCGCAGGCGTCAGGTTATACTCAGGTAAGCATTCGATTTGTCGTCTCATAGAGCACAGATTCATGTTAGTAGTCTACATCGCTATTCGATCAGATATCACCTTCAGTTGAGTCATCGGAACAACTCAGTCCATCACAAACAGTCCCTCTCCGCCGGCTTTATGGCAGGGATGGCTTCTCCGCGGGAAACGGAGGACAATCAAGTAATGCAGTTTGCCGTCGTTCGGAACGTCCTTTAGATGCTGAAGCAGGAGACGATGGCGTGAATGCGATGATGGGTTCTCTGGAGGAAGAGCGCCAGACACAAGGATTCTTTGGCAGCTCGAGTGCTACCAGTTTCATGCGTCAGATCAAAACAGCCGTGGAAAAGACGGTGGACTTACCCGACCGCCGCACATCCGAGTCTATACTGGGAACTGCGCCGCAATCGAGTCCTCTATCCAATCGGACCAAAAGACCGTCCACAGTATCCAACTATGTGCTTCCCCCAAGGAAGACTGCCGATAGCCTTATGGAGGTGTACTGGCGCTTCGTGTTTCCTCTCTATCCGCTGGTAGATAGCATTCATTTGCGAGCGGAGTATAGCAAGCTCTGGACCGGAGAAACGCTCGACTCCGACGAGAATATGCTCATGTGCACGTTAAATGTTATCTTTGCTTTGGCCTGTCAACTGGCAGATTTTATCGCGCGTGACGAGCGCGAAGCATCTGCAGATGCATTCTTCTCTCGTGCAAAAGACCTCCTACACTTCAACCTCTGGCACGGTGGCTCTGCTGCTCTGATCCAATGCCTTCTGCTGATGGCTCAATACCTGCAAAGTACCGACTCGGCACATCAATGCTGGATTGTCACTGGTTTAGCGATTCGGAACGCTCAAAGTCTCGGCCTGCATCTTCCGCAGACCATTGCCCATCTACCAAGCTTCCAAGAACAGCAACTAGCACGGAAAATCTG